AGTGATTGCTGCCAAACCTGGCAGCCTGACTTCAATCCCTAGGACCTACATGACAGAAGGGGAGAGCCGACCCCTCACAAGTCGCTCTCTGACCTCCACATGTTCCACAGTGTGCATATGTGTGCACACACATATGTGAAATATTTCTTTCTTCTCAATGAAATAAAGGTAAAATTGAGATAAGAGTGCAGAGAAGAAAGTGTTGAGATCTGGAGAAGGTGTTTTTTAATTATCTAGAGAGGTTAAGACAGTAAGAAGTTTATTTGATGGTGATATATTCATTATGTGTTCTTACCTCACATCTTGCCACTGTGAGGTGCTATAAACAAACCGTACTTTCTTCAGGTTTACATTCGAACAGCTCCCTGTTTGGCAACGTATACTTTTGATTATCAACTTTGGGCAATTTTTCTGAATATTCATACAAAGTATAATTATATTAATGTTGTGCTAATGAATGAACTCTTCAGATTTAATAAAAGAAATTTATAAGGAAGATGTACAGTTAAAGGACTAGCATAGTGCAAGACTTTTGCTTTCTAGTTACCAAAAATCAGGTTTAAAAAGAACTATAGAAGAAAATGAAAATTCTAATAAAATATTGTGATTTCATCCCTACTTTCTTAGTAGGGCTGACTTAAGAATTTTTTAAGACTATTTATACATTTAAGACTTATATTTATAAATAAATATAAGACAGGCTGGACATTCCTAATATGAAAATTCAAAGTCTAAAAAAACTTGAGAATTTACACGATGTCATGAGAAATTTCTACAGCTTCCTCACTGCAGTAAAGATGTGGGTACATTAGAAACAGTTTAAAATCACTTTCAGGCTCTACATATAAGGTACAGACAGAACATAAATAAATGTTATATGTGGCCGTTGGTCTTACTCCTAAAATATTTCCTTATTTATGTGCAAATGTTCCAAGATTCAAAATCATCTGAAACATTTCTATCCCTTATCATTTCAAATAAGAAAGCATTGACTTAACATGAAATCAAAGTATTTTGTTAATGATTCAAATGGGCTGTAATTTAGAATTATTTAGAGAGGAAAAACTGCAGAAAACAAAATTTCCAGAGAGAATACTAATGCAGGGATACATTTCAAAGACTCTGGGAAGATGGCTCAGTGGGTAAGGTGGGTGGTTTTTTCAGAAGCAGAAGGACATGAGATCAGATCCCCGAGATGCACACAAAAGCTAGGTGTAGTGAGCCCCGCTCTGGATGTGAAGGGGCAGAGATGGGTCTATCCAGGGGCTTCTTGGCCAGCCAGTCTGATGAGACAGCACGTTCCAGGTTCAGAAAGCAACGCTGCCTCAACAGATAAGGTAGAGAAAGAATTGAAGAAGACATACTAACATCAAACTCTGACCTTGACACACAGGCTTGCATAAGGTAGGGCATCCATACACACATGTACACATATGTAAACCGCACACACACATGTACACTCACAAGGAAAGAATATGGAAAACAAACACATACAACCCAAATGGATGGAGTTTAACACTGCAGTTTTCAACTGTTTGGCTGCAGCAATGTAATGAACTTTCAACCCTCTGAAACTGTTAAACTTCACTCTTAGCCAGTGAGCATACCTGCAAACATTATCTGATATTAAAAAACACTTTAGAGTGAATCCAATGAGGGGGAGGGGACTAGTTAATTTGGGTAATACAATTAAAATCCTTATTCAAAAGATAAGAGGCAGTAAATGGAGGCTGGAGAAGTGGCTTAGTGGTTAAAACGCTGTTGATTTTGCAGAGAACCCACATAGACACTCACAATTCTCTAAATGGCAATTCCAGGGGAATATGGCGCCCTCTCCTGGCCCCTACAGGCACTGCGTACACATGGTGCACAGACAAATGTGCAGGTAAAGCTCCATACACACAAAATAAAAATATATTCTTTTGTTGTTGTTGTTAAGCAGTAAGTCATCCCCTCAAATTTTGAGGCAGAATGTCACTCTGTTGCTTAGACTGACCTAAAATTCACTATGCTGACCTTGAACTTGGGATCCTTCTACCTTGGCCCCCCAAGTACTGAGATTTCCACTGTGTCCCTCCATGTCCCACCAACAAAACTATTTTATAAAGTGGTCTGTGTGTGAGCAGTAATTCTAACAGCTGAGAAACCCATAATTCAACTTCTGTACAATTCTGTACAACTCCAAGTAATTCCATCCTAGAACACTACTTCTACACAGAATTTGCAGATTATATGTGAAACTAGGCTCTCTTATTTTTTTTTTTTTTTTACCTAAACTCCTTTTATAATTAGCATTCTCCTCTAATCTACGGGCAGAGACCATTTTCCCACTTAAAGAATTTAGGTGACCTTTGTAATTTGCTCATGCCAACCAAACACGGCAAGATCAGCAAAGTGCTAGGATTAAGGATAGATCTCAAGGGGACCTTGAATGTTTCCTTTCTCTTTCCTTCTTAGAACCATACTCTTGTCATGTTGGCCCTAACTGACCAAGTGCATCTTGATAGATAAAACCTTTCCTATCACCACACATGATGTCCACCCATCCTCTGAAAGAGACGGGTATCTAACTTACAACACAATATACACAGCATATGCTTTGGATGCAGAAACAGAAATAAAGTCAGAACTGAGACGGAAACTTCCTTCGTGTTGGTTAGCTTTCATAATGCCAAGTGTGCTGTGCAGGCTGCTGGGGAGAATTGTCCTCCACAGTCTCTCTAGCTGTGGACCCTGCATGCTGCACTACTGTGGTAATTGAATAAGAATGCCCCCCATAGCCTTGTATATTTGAATGCTTGGTCCCCAGTAGGTGGAAATGTTTGGGAAGGATTAGGAGGTGTGGCCTTGTTCCAGGAGATTGTTACTGGGGATGGGCTTTGAGTTTTCAAAAGTCTACACCATTCCTAGATTGAGCGCTCTCTCTCTCGCTCGCTCTCTCTCTCTCTCTCTCTCTCTCTCTCTCTCTCTCTCTCTCTCTCTCCCTCTCTCCTTCCCTCCCTCTCTCCCTCTCCTCCCTCTTCCCTCTTCCCTCTTCCCTCTTCCCTCTTCCCTCCTCCCTCCTCCCTCCTCCCCACCCCTGCCTGGTGGTTGCTGTCTCAAATGTGAGTTCTCAACTTCTGTTCCAGCATCATGCATTCCTGCTCCCGTGCTCCCCACCATGATGGTCATACAATAAACTAATCCTCTGAATCTGTAAGTACCAATACATGTTTAGTAAGTTGCCTTGGTCATGGTGCCTCAGCAAAGCAATAGAAAACTAACTAAGACAACTATCCACCACTCATGCAAGATGTACCCACTGGTGTGACTGTTATAGGGGCAACCAACTACTCTCTGGCTGTTTACGGGAAGAATTCATGCCTGGTGCTGCTAGTGTGGTAACAGGACAAAGCAGGGGAACTACCATTGCTATTCTGCTAAACAGATAGGATGCTCTAGTCAAAATACCTTCTAAATAATGGTGCTTATGCACATACACTAGTGTTTCTGTTTACCTTCCTCAGAGAAGCTTCTTTTGCAGTGGGCAGTGGTAACTGCACAGACTTATAATTGGTTAAAGTCCTGGAAATAAGCGATTATTGATGGCTCAGCCATAAATGGGGCACTTATACCACCCCTTCCACGCCTCCTGAAATATTCCCAAAGAGGGGAAACAAAGAATGTGAGGGCCAGAGGAAGGGTGGGGCTGTGGATCATTGTCCTCCGGGCACGACATGGCCACTGTGCTCTTAAAAACATGGCAGCTTAGATCACCTGCACAAGAACTACATGACATTGGGCATGTGACCTTTCAATCATGGAAGGAGGAGGGGCTAACAAGACCTGACCCCTCCTTGGAGACTTTTAGGCAGCTAACAGTTGCTGATGGGAGGCACAGTCTAATTGCTTCCTGAGGATTTATATATAAATAGATAATGGTTATTTGGAGAAGGAGAAACATTTCATCAGTGGTGTGATTGCAAGCAAGTCGCCCATGTTGCTGTAAATCACCCTTCACCCTGACTCCTGTAACTAATGGACGTTCATTCATATTCTTCCTCCCTCCTTCCTTCCCCCCCCTCTCTCTCTCCCTCTCTCTCTCTCTTTCTCTTCTTCCATCCCTCCCTCTCTTCCTTACACACACACACACACACACATACACGAATATGTGCATGCACATAAAATAATTTTTTAAAACACTCAAATCGAGATTTTTTTTCAATACATTTGTTTCAGGGCAGTGATTGGTCACTACTTTGTACAGATGGTAAACTATATTGGAAAGAGACCCTAGAACTTAATAAGTAAATCTCAACTGACATTCTGGTTTTAGCAGCTGTGTCTGAGACAAAATTTTTAGAGCTAATTCCTATTCTCTTCACTGGAAATTGATGGAACTTCCAGCCATAAGACCTTTGGGACCACTGGATCCTTAATGGGTCAGTGTGCTTAGCATTGTGAATATAATACTACAAGTGTTACTGTGGATATATACTAAATATACACTAAATATGTACTAATATACTATAAAATACATTGTGAATATATGCTGAAAGTATTAACAGCTGAGGCTGGAGAAATGGCTCAGGCATTAAGAACACTTGCTGCTATAGCAGAGGACCAGCTTTGCTTCCTGGCACCTCATAAGGCAATTTACAAGTATATATGACTTCAGTTCCAGCAGATCCAATGCCCCGCACCAGGCATGTACACACAACACAGTTAAAACACTCATATACATAAAATAATAATAATAATAATAATAATAATAATAATAATAAATCTTCAAAGAATACAATAAATAAGAACGTTAAAGTCATTCACTAAGTTTTGCCTCACTTTAAGTGTGCCAGGCTGTAGGTAAAACACCAAGAAAGAAACCAATGACTCATGGTACTACCTACAACTTCCATCTAATAATTATCACACAGATAGAACATATGCTTTAAATCCCCTCGTGTTCCCAAAAGGGCGCGGGACAGCAGCATCGCCTTTAAACGCACGGCTTCCAGACTCACTTGACAGCTCACGTCCATCCCCGCCTCCAGCAGCACCTGTACCACTGCCTTGTGACCATTGCGGGCTGCGAGGTGGAGCGGCGTGTGCTTCCGAGTGTTACAGCTCATTAAGTTTGGGTGTGCACTGATGATCATCTTCACCACCCTTAGCCGCCCGTAGAGTGCTGCCAAGTCCAGCGGGGTCTCCAGTTTGCTGTTCCTAATCGTGGGGTCCGTGAGCTCTTCTAGGAGAACGGCAACTACTTCCGAGTGTCCGTATTGCGCTGCACAGTGGAGGGCGGTTTCGTTCTCATTGTTCTAGTTGAGGCGGAGAGACAAAAGACACGTCTTCAGAAAATTAATTAGCCATCGAACTCTAAACACAATAATTTAAAACCTGGCATGTGTGAAGATGTGAATTTAAGCATAACCTATTTAGTGAAGAATATCTAAGTGGATTATATATTTTTAAAGAACTCATCACTCACTGCATCAAAATCACATCTTAGTTTTACCACTTCAATATAAAAATATCAGACTTCCCTATATCACATAGTCTGGCTTCCAAGAGTGATTGAATGGTTTAGCCACACTGGTCAGTAGCCCTGCTGGGATCAGATGGCCAGCATTCCCTGAATTGCACAAGCCTCTATGACATTTGCTAATAAGGAAGATTAATAACAATTATGGCATACTTTGAATGACTGACTTTGTAGACTAGAGTTGAGGTGATAAATTCCTGATAGCAGACTTACAGAAAAGATACCCAGATTGTTTCAATGTATTTTCGATAAATAGAAACCAGGGGCTTTTGCTACAAATACTATGAGTAATAAATATGAATCATTACTTCTCTTCTTTGCAGAAATGATGAAAACTCATATCCCTAGGATAAGATGATAACATCCTTTTGAAAACATGGGTAAGAAACAGGCCTAGGCCCACACCTAGGCAAGTAGCCAAGGATACAGAGCACAGCATTTGCAGCTGATAAGAATTCCTATTGAAAAACCAATGGGATTTTTCTAGAAATTTAACAAGATTTAAAAAAAATTAACAAGGCACATTGACCCTTCAGACAATTTTGACAATTAGCATGAGGAGATGGGGGTCTTAGTGTGTCCAGAGGTGGCAGAATCAGTTGAGAAAACTGTGAACCAGAAATACTAACGACACAAGTGAAAGATCTTAATTAGGGCTCCAGAGGGAAAGATCAGCCGCCATTAGCACAGTTAACACTCAGACATTGGAGGTCACATTTTATTTATTTTCTCGATTAGGCCTCATTACAAGATGGGAGGCTATCCTCACCACTACCCTCACCTGCTGGGGGAGGCACTGAATAACCGAACAATGGGCTTCTGATTACACAGCCATTCCGTGGTGTGTAAGGGTATCGTGAAGTTTGAGGTTGTGCTTTTAGCCTCTCCACGGTTCCGAAGCTGTGGAGCCGCAGCATCCCCTTTGATGTGCAGCTAAGACTCACTTGACAGCTCCATGTTCCAGCAACACCTGGAGAACTGCTCTGGTACCACTGACCACAGAGATGGGAAGTGATGCGTAGCAAGTAGCCCAGACCCATCGTCTGAACTATCAACATAGATGACCTTCTGTCATAGCAGCGGTGCCCGCAAACACTTGCTAAACCACTACAAACTTTTACAAACGTTGCCTCATTAACTTTAACTCTTACATGTTTGGTATTAACATATCTAATTCGTGGATAGATAGAAAAATGTCACACTGCATCTCAGAAGATCAGGATCTTTTGGTACCTGTCAAAACCTAAAGCCTAAGTTCTCCCTGACTCCAAATGCTGCTATACTGTCAAAGAAGCTCTGAAAGTATCTTACAATTTTCCAGAGACTTCACCCAAAGCGTACTGAGCTAGGAGGAGCTGTTTCTTAGACAGTAGCTCCTCCTGAAACAAATGAAAAAAGACAATTTAAACTCAAACACATCTTAATCTTGCAGGACAAATAAACAAACACCCAAACAAAAGTAAAACAAACAAACAAAAAAAACCCAAACTAAACCAAAACAAAACTAACAAAAAACAAAGGATGTGCTGGATCAAAGAAAAATGCAAACCAGTAAATTAAACAGCTAGAGAAAAGATTTGAGAACTTAAAAAAGAAGATGTGGTTGGGTGGGGTGCAGGAGGAAGGGCTTCTTATTTTGTGTGTCTACTATCAGTGCAGGGCAATGGGAGATTAAAGACAGACAGACAGACAGACTAGCCTACTCTTTAAAGACAGTGGATGAAAGCTGGGGGTCAGACAAACAGAAGGGAATCCACCTGAAGATGTTTCTTGCATTGTTTGTATAAGAATTAACCTTGTGCTTAATTTAGATTTTTTTACTATCATTTCTGTCCCTGTTCATAAAGACTGACTGCATACAGTCTTAGACTTCCTACTTTGTTAAATCTGAATTTTCTACAAGCTTCATGAGAAGCCCAAGCTTATTACTCTAATGCATAAAAATATGACATAAAAATATGCTTCCTGGCCAGCCCAATTTACCCTTGGTCTAAAAAGGGCTGAATCCCATTTTTCAAACTGTAATATCTCTCTGGGAAAAAGAAAGGCCAATTATGAAGTAATGAGTCCTCAAAGATCTCTCTACTTTTCCACAGCCCTTAGCCTAGAAAATAGGATCAAAATTGTAAGTTCTTCTAATAATACCAAATTAGTGCTGTTCAAATCTCAGGAGAAATTATCTCCATCATTAAAGACCTATTTAGGAGACAGTGTTCTCAGGTTTTTATCCGCAATCAACACATGCTTGGGCTTTTATCAGTGGAGACTACAACTGTGGGGTATCTTTAAAAAGGCAAGATTATATAATTGTGTCCAGGCTCACTAACAGTCCAAGAAAGAAACATCTAATTTAAAACGTGTAGACTATGATGGTGTATTGATTAACAATCGCTGGCACATCTATAGAGAACATTCTTTAAAGGTTCTGAGTTCTTCATTTTTAACCAAATAACTAGTCCCTGAACACATAATACAGGCAATGGGTAGAAGAAGGAAAGAGCTGACAAGCCCCATTTACCAAAAGACCTGAGTTCTAGCAACAAAGACAAAGTACTTTCCAGATAAGGATTCTCTGACTTTTGCCCCAGTAGTAAATTAAAGAGAAAAATAAGGTCAGGGCAAAGGAGTGTACACAGAACACACAAAACACGCAAAGAAATGAAAATAATGCCATTCTTTCTCCATTGTCTCCACGTAGTACCAGAATTTGCCTTTCTTCCACCTATTTATTTGTTCATCATCTGTGACCAACTTCATAAATGAGCACTGAACCCATGCCACACCCACCCTTCCCTTCCCCCTCTCACTCCTCCCCTCCTGCCCCTCCCTACCAAATCCATTACCCCATTTAGCATTCCCTGTGTATGCATGTGTCTGGGGCTGTCCTTCCCTGTTTTCTGCCATGGTCCTCCTCTGCATCGTGGCTTTTGTACAAAATAGAACGGTGAACAGGATCTACCTGGAAGCCTTAGCACACCCCTCACCCACAATTCACTAGATCCCTGAGCAGTGATCATCTGTAGGTAAGAACACTGTCCTCTCTATAACTACATGGTGTGGTTCATAAGCCAAAAGATTTCAGGCCGGGTTTTTTTTTTATAAACATTAAAATGCAAGACTGGCCAAATTATTTCCTAAAATGGGCTTCATAATACTTTTCATCTGGATGTTTTATAAGTTCAGTAGGAGCCCGGAGTTTATTTTATAGCATAAAAGATAAGATACAGAAAAACATGTTCTGCTAACTGGTGTGAACACTTATTGTAAGTATCAACCAACAATATTGCAATGCACAGTCTCAGTTCCTGATGCTCAGTGAAGGTCTGACACGTTAAATGGAAACCTCCAGAAATACTCCATAAGTTTCGAATAACGGGCTAATCAGCGCATGAGGAAATCTTGAGCTGTTCCACTCCGTGTCTCTCCTGATGAGAATCATCCTTGGTAACACTTAATGCTCATCTGATTTATCTGATCCAACGTGCCGCTCCACAGCTTGCACTCAGGCAACCCTTGTGTCACTATATGACCCAGAGCACAAAAGGGATGCGACAGACAAGGACTATAGAGTGAAAAACAGAAGGACGAATAATCCCTGACACCACGTGGCAACACAGCAAAAGTATGAAAAAAGCAGTAAGTGGGATTGGGGCTGAAAGTCTGGGGCTGGAGAGATGGCTGAGTGGTTAAGGGCATTCACTGACTGCTCTTCCAGAGGTCCTGAGTTCAATTCCCAGCACCCACATGGAGGCTCATAACCATCTACACTAGGATCTGATGCCTTCTTCTGGCATGCAGGCATATATGTAGGCAGAATACTGTATACATAATAAATAGATAAACAAACAAAAAAGAAGTCTATTGAAGATTCATAAAACACAATATAAACATTAGCACTCTCCCCGAGTAACAACAAAAGCATTTTGAAGTGGAATAGCTTACAAATGCTTTCCCCAAGAAAATCTGAAGCAATACATGGAAATATTAGAACAGAGGTTTCTACCAAGGGTATTGGACACCTGATGAGGGAACAACCATATAAGAAGTCAAAGATCCTCTTCAGGAAGTACAATGAAACACTAACCAAGGGGCATAATATCAATGCCATGACTGTGGAATTGGCTAAGGGCCTGAGCTATGGATCAGAAAACCCTTTTTAATCATTGATTCCATCTCTTAATGGATGCATCCTGGGCATATTCTTCTTCTCTAAGGTCATGGCCTCATCCAGGCAGCAGCCAGGATAATCCCTACTTCACCAGGCTGTGACAGGAATCAGTAAGGTAATGTAGATACCGTGGCTTGCCTGTCACGGGAAACTGTAAGTAACAGGGTCTAGGAAAGCAGCATTAGTGTGTCAGACCTGGACTCAGAATTTAAGTCTCAGCTCAGGTTGCCCAGAAACATGTGGCCTTAACCAAGTTACTTAGCTTAACTGAACTCTGTTTTCTGGCTATAAAATAGGAAAGATAATTTCACTTCTGATTACTAAGTAACATAGGGAATTAAGTACCGTTGCACAGGTGGAAGTACTTTGAACAATGGCTGATTTTCCTTAGTCCTCATTAATGTGGATTTTCATTCCTTCTGCTACTGGTTAAATACATGAACGTTTCTAATTAGCTGAAACATTTCTGCACCATTGTGGGGGGAGCTAAAATTCAAGCTACTGATAAGAATAAAATCAGCAGTTCTGAGTCTCCCAGAGGTATTGGTCTAAAGTGGAAGGGCAAATTTAGAACAAAAAGTTTCAAGACAGTACTGGAGGCCAGCTCAATCGCTAGTTGCTGAGATGCTAAGATGCTAAGGGCTAGATGCTAAGCCCCAGTCTCATAATACATTTAAAAATAAAAAGCAGGCATGATGGCACAGGCTTATAGTCTTGGTGCTAAGGAAGCTCACCAGTCAGCCAGAAACTCTAATCAGTGAGCTCAGGTCCCGAACAAAGTGGGCAGTCACACAACTGCGTTTGCATGAGTGCATGCACACACACACACACACACACACACACACACACTGACCTATACCTTCTCATGCACATGCATGTACAGCCACCACCACCACCAAAGCAGTCTCAAGAAGTGTTTGTCTTGTTGCCACCAAACCACAGCACATGGTAATGGAAATGAAAAAAAGAATTTCCACTTCCAGTCTTCTTAAAAGGATTTTTTTCATAATTTGATCAATTTTCAATATTACCAAACTCAAGTGCTTCTCACAAATTATTCCAATACAGTTACACCACTTAAGACTTTCAGCTTTCAAATATAAATACACACTGTACGATTCTTACTTTTGTGTCATTAAAAAAAAAAACATTTTGTTTACTTGAATCAACACCCTTTTCTTTAACCTTGGGTTGTTTTTCCACTTTGTTATTTCAGGTTGGCTATGTGCCATGCAGACAGTTTTAAGGATAACCACCAGATGGCTCATCCTGTCAATGATGTAAGTTCTGGGATCTCAGGAACAGAATAGGATTCTCACAAATTCCCTTTTAGCATATGATGATAAAGATAGCCATATCTGTCATTTTTAAAAATACGTGAATGCATCCTAATTTTGAAAATCTACATTTCTGTACCAATACAAGCACAAAATTTGATTGTCATAAAAATTAATGAGATGCTTTTCTGACAAATAAAATGCTTTTGCTGATTGGTCATTTCAACATTGAACTGGGGTGAAATTTTTTTCTCTTTACTTTTTTTGTTTCAAGATAGGGTTACTTTTCATTCTTATTTCCTCTTAATTTCAGGCAAAGGTCTGCAAAATGTATAGCTATTTGAACAATAAGGTAATTGCCCTTTAATTAGAAACTCTTGCCTTATAGTGATCTATTTACATTGGCATTGGACAGCAGCCAGCCTGCAGCTTAATACTATGGCTGTAATTCAATTGTTGGACTGCATGCTGGTTTTCAAATATAGTTTTACAAAATGGGAACAGTAGGGGGCATTCAGAGCTCAAGGTGTCTGTTACACTATATCACGAGGCCATATTTTCCCTCTGTCAAAAACGAACTCTTGTCTGCTCAGAACTGAAGTCCTTTCTAAATATGTTCATTGTTTGTAATACAGATATTATGTTCTTGTTACCGTTCTGACTATCTAACATTATTATTCTCTGTGGTGCCCAGCTTACTCTAGACATTTCTGTCTCATGTGTGCACGTTTAGAGGAAATTTTTAACTTACTATGAGATTAGGAACTGTGCACGCTGTATTTTACATATTCCCCCCCAAAAAGTATACTTAACTGTGAACATGCTATGTAGATGGGGAGCATTAGGCAACTGATGGCTATAAACATTGTTTTAGCATTTATAATTTTATTAAGGAACAATAATTCTCATACACACATGGATACTATTCTATCTTTAAGTCCTCAATAGACTTAAAGTAGATGCTTCTATATGGCAGGCAAAAATTTTACAATTATTTTCTGTATGAGGGATTTTTCTTTTTAACAGAGTATCATCCCAAATGCTTTAGTGCCTGTGCATGATACCCAAACCCACAGTGTCTGTGCATCATATCCAAACCCAAAGAATTGTTCAAATTTCTCCTTTAGGAAATTCAGCGGTAGAATGATTGTGGGGCAGAGAACAGATAAAAGTGATCAATTTTTCAAAGTGGCTTGGCCTTTGCAAAACTTGAGAGTAAATTACGGCATGAGCAAACACTGGGCGAGTGCACCTGTTCATTGACTCTGGAATGTGAAGGTCCGTGGTGGATGAGAATCTTCACAATCTCCACGTCTCCTTTCCAGGCAGCCAGGTGAATGGGGAAGTAGCCCTTGTTGTCTGCTACATTGGTTGATGCCTCGTACTGAAGTAGTTTGAGAACTATGTCCCTGAGGAAAAAAGTAAACCAAAAAAGAGAAAACAACAGAAAAGAAAATATGCTGAACAACACATATTTTATCAGACAACTGTGAATGCTTATTAGAGGCTAGCTGGCATTTAAAACAATTATTTAAGGCACTATAATTTGAGATTGGGATTAAGAGTTTCTACAGTTGACACACTATTTTACTTACTTAGAAAATACTCAAAGCCCTCCCAAGACACATCCAGGCATACACACACACACACACACACACACACACATACACACATGCACAAATGGGTGTGCATATACCCGGATCATGAACTAACCAATAAAATTATTTAATAGAATGCATTTGGAATGAATATATATGTATCATTTATATATATATATATATATATATATTTCATTAAAAGAGTAAGTCAATTAAAAGCTACATCATTACCTCCTCATATTTCATGACTGAACTGTCTATCCAGATCACTCATGTCTGAGAGTTAGCCTGAAGTTAAAGCTGAAGCTATAAGCAAACTCCGTGTTTCCAGAAACTAAGAAGTTTATCAAATGCCAAGGTAAATTGGGGGGGTTTTATATATCACCTCTAGCGAGAACTGGAATAAATGAATGAATGAATGAATGAATGAATGAATGAATGAATGAATGAAGATGTATACAAAGGAGAAATGTAGGTGTGTGGGTAAGGGAGCTACCAACCTAAGTGTAGTACTAGATCACTACTAAAAGCCAGAATTTGGTAGCTACTCAGCCACAGCACATAACCTGACTGAATAATGATCCATCCCATCTTCCTCTTTCTCCTCAGGGCCCAGGAAGTGATCCTAAGAATGAAATTCATCTAAGAGAGAACTTCCATCACTGATGTAATCCCCAGTAAAGCTCACATGCTACCCACAGGCTTCTGTATTTAAAACCCACCAGACTTCCAGAGTAGAAACCTTCACTGAAATAACCTCAAAAAGAACTGGATAATCATTACTGAATATTAGACTGAGCTTCATATAAAACAATACAAAACTGTGATTCTGAACAGAAGTTGTATTTCATCTGACTGCATTGAGACACAGATTTTAATAATCCTTACATGAAACCCCAGACAGACACATGTGTAAAGGCAGGCAAAATACTGATGAATACACAATTATAAACTAAAATCAATCCTTAGGGTTAAAAAAAATGAATGAATATAACAGAAATGGCCATTTAAAAATAATGAGGTTAGAATCCTAATATCACAGAAGAAACAGGTATAATGCAAAAATAACAATAAATGGTTAAATCTACTGCCCCAAATGTGGCCCAACAATCAGATAGAGTTGCAACATACATGCAATTGTGTGTGTAAGAAAAAAAGAAAACCCAAGAATATGTTGTAGATATGCTTATGTGTTCTGAGGAATCTTCATCTTCTAATGATAAGATTTCTGAGAAACTAAGACACGAATTATATCTCTTTTAAGAGCTGGTTGTGCTTTTGTATACAAAAAGATATATAATATGAAAAGAGATATAACATACATATATACTATGTATGTATGTATGTGCCCATGAGCGTCCATGTGTGCATGAGTAAATGTGGAATGACCCTGAGGCCAGAATAAATCAGAACCCTGGAGCTGGAGATACAGGTAGTTAGTTATCAGCGGCTCAATGTGGGTGCTGGGAACTGAACTCAGGTCCTCTGGAAGTGTTTTTAACTGCACCTGGGCTAAGCCATCTCTCTAGCCCAATAAATTATATCCTAACGTGTCTTTTAAAAAGTTATTATTTAACAAGATCTGAATTTAGAAGGCTGGGGATTGACTTAGCTATGTCACCTTACCTAACTTTTAATTTCAGCACCGTTTTCTTTTCTGGAAAAGACAGTAGAAAAATAAAATAGCTTCTGCTGATGATGCATGGTAAGACTGCTAAACGGGAATCACAAAGGTCACGTGATAACTGGTCATCCACTATGTAAGCAGGAGAATCCGCATCAAATAAGAACAAAAACGGGTGGAGTGAAATTTGACATTTACTCCGGTCACATGATTTTCGTCATCTCTACCACGTAAGAGCTGTCCTGGAGTCTTCAATTCTGAGATAAGCAAATAACCACACTGAGGTAAGAAGAATCCAATCAATAGTTAAGAATAAGAAAAAACCCAGTAAGAGCCAGAATTGGGTTTTACGTTCTAAATCTTTTGTATTATTGACAAGTGTAGAGAAACAAGGAGCAAAATGACCCCCTTATTCTTTTCCTTTTTTGTAAAGTAACCCAGCCTTGTGTATTTCATCACAGTGATATAACACAGACTAAAATACTTTCCAAGGGGAAGAGTAAAAAGATTGATGGGATGAAACCTTTAATTTCCCTTTACTATCACCAAAAATTCAGAATCTATTCTTTTCCTTGAATTTTGTTATTTCCTAATAATATACATGATAAGCATTCAATGTTTATCCAGAAAATTTATGATACATTGAAAAAATGATCATTTTTAAACAGTGACTTATTTTGAACATTTGTGTTGTATACATAACATAACCATTTAATACCTGGGTCAGAAAGGAATAGTCTATATGTTTATGTCATAAGAAGAACATAGCTGAATACTATCTTTTTAAATTTATTACATTAGTTTATTTGATGGGGGACACACATGTGGAGGTCAGCGGGCATCTTGCCAAAGTAGGTTTTTTCCTTCCACCCCATGGGGACAGGAACGTTGAACCTAGGCTGTCAGACTCGATGAGCAAAGCCTTTACCAGCTGAGTCAGCTAGCTGTCCCAATCACTCTATGTAGCACACGTTTAAATGTGTTTACTCAATTTCTTTGTGTTTCTACAGTAGTTTGGCATTAAATCCAGGGCCTTGAAAATGTCAGCATGTGCTTTAGCTATTATCCCTAAACACTGCTTACTTTCCTCTGAGGAAAGGTCCTGCCAAACGTAAGGAAAGTCTTTAACTCTTGTCTCAACCTCCCAAGCACCTAGGAGTAACATATGCTGCTCCATAAATGTGCGTATCTTTACATTTATTAACTAGTGAACCGGCTGAGTTCAGAATCAGCTTGAAAACACACTTTTTAAATATAAAGTTTGACTTTTAATCAAGTAAATACCTGGCAGTTTTACTGAACTGTAAAAACAATAAATACTATCATTAATAAACTGTCATTAGTCTTTCTTATGGTGATCTAGATTTGTCATACCTAATGTTAATTAAATGGCCTTTTCCATACAGGCTCATTAAGAACAAATTACATTTTAAGTGCTTTCTATATCTAAATTTGAAGAGTAAACAGAATAGTAGCTCAGTATTATTACTTTTTATTTTCATTTATGCTGAATGTAATACCTTATTCAGGGAAGGCAAACAACTAAGGATGTTGGCTGTGTCTTGTTCCTTGCATTAAATATTAAGTTACACTGTTCTTGTCTCGAGACTAGGAAGCACTTTACAAATAAAGTAACAATGGTTCTTATAGCCAGCATTTGATATTGTAATCCTAGGTTAATAGTGTAACTTAGCCATAGGGTATACACTTAGCAGGTACAAAACCTGAAATCAATGCTACCATGTCCTAACTTGCTTACAGACACTCGAGGAGTGTGTGTGATGACATTGTAAGAAAACAAAAACAAAACCTGAGTGCACTTCATGAGGCCCAAGACTGTCAATGTTAGGCCTAATAGAGTTTACCTTTGTCAGAAACCAACACACACACACACGCACACACACACACCAAAAAGGGTGTCTGAAATTCTAATATAAATGTGGTAGATGGGCGTGGTGGTTTGAATAGATTTGGCCCCCATAGACTTATATGTTTGAAATGCTTGGCCTATAGGAAGTACTACTATTAGGAGTGGCCTTGTTGGAGGAGGTGTGGCCTTGTTAGCGGAAGTTTATCACTGTGGAGGCGGGTCTTTTGAGGTTTTAAATGCTCAAGCTACTCCCAGTGTGAAACACATCCAGTCCCATCCTGGTAGCCTGCAAATCAAGATGAAGAACATGGGCTCCTCCAGCTCCACGATTGCCTACATGTGCCCATGCTTCCTTCTATAATGATAATGGACTAAAAGTCTAAAATTGTAGAAGTGTTGTCTTGGTCATGGTGTCTCTTTACCATGGAAACCCCAACTAAGACATGGAGTGACAGAAAAAGTAATTTTATTGCCAGAGACAAGACAAAGTATCAAATTAAATCAAAAGTATTCCAACTTAAATAATTTAATTATTTTGCATGTGATATATGTAAATTCAGGTAAAAAATACAAATTTTAAAGTATTGGGTTTTTTTTCCACTCTCATTTGCACTAATGTTCTGATGAATATGGAAACATTTCTGATTAATATTAAATATCTTTGAAGAAGTTTAGAGTAAATTCTAAGCAAAATCAAAGCACTTGGTTGTGCCAACTTTATTTTTTTTCTCAAGAAGATTTTATGCAACTTCATTACAACTGTGTGTTTATTTTATTCTAATGTTTGGCAGTAATCTCAAAATAACAGCTTCATCTGGTTGCAGAATTAACTAACCAATGAAAGTTTCAAACCTCAGAAGGCTAGACACCAGACTTCCCAGAGGCCACCTGCTTCTCTTTAAAGCAAATAAAGGCTCAGGTGTGCTGGGCACGCCCAGAAGACTGGGGGGACATATGGCCCGCTCTCACTAAAGCTTCTTTATAAAATAAATTCACGCTTACAATTTCAAGATTGTGAAGAAAAAAAAAGATCAATTAAATCAAAGGGGTCCTAGCTATTCCAACAACTCTGGGTATCTGGTTATAAAAATTTTAGAGCACTCCACTTTTATTTAAAAAAACTAAGAAAAAAATAAATCAAAACTACTAATAGCTTCCTCTGTGGATTCTAGCTCCAATTTAACATACAATTTAGATTACAGACACTAGAGTCTATAAGATATTAAGTGCTACAAGAGATAAAATGGAAAGTATTTTTAACTCCACACACGCCATATTACACGCCACGCATATCCCCAAGGAATAAAGATAATTTGTTGACATTTTTATTTTTCAAGAGTATGCAAGTAGTATCACAACACATCCAATAGGGCCTAAGAAATAAGACTTAAGAAAATAAGGGGCAATTTCCTAATTAGAGAAGGGGAATAAAATAAAATTTAAGTACTTAAGTTTAATAAAAATCTTATTGAGAATGGTAAATTAAAAAAAAAATCTAGGCATGTGATCCCAGCCCTTGTAAGATGGAGACAGGGGAAGAGTGAGTCTCTCAAAGACAGCTTGTAAAGAAAGACAAGAAGGAAGGGAGGGAGGGGGGAAGGGAGGGGGGAGAGGGAGAGAGAGAGAAGGTAAGAGAAAGAAAGGAAGGAAGGATGAAAGGAAGGGAGGGAGGGAGGGAGGGAGGAAGGAAGGAAGGAAGGAAGGAAGGAAGGAAGGAAGGAAGGAAGGAAGGAAGGAAGGACAGAAAGAAGGGAGGGAGCAAAACAGAGAGGGGCCTAACAAGGGATCTACAGTGTACCTCGGGAGCTGAGGGCTTGCCTAGCATACATGAAGTCTTGATTTCCACCCCGGGCATTTATTAACTAATTACTTAGAAACCAAAATAACATAAAAGAACACAGGGAGGAAAAAAAAAGTCAAACAAGAAAGAGGAATGGAAGAAGGAAAGCAAAGCAAGTAGAGAAGTATGGAAAGGAAAAGACATGGGGGAGGGGGGCAAAGAACAGACACTGTTATTCAGAAGAGAATTAAGGGATTGATGCTTAAGTGTAAACTGTTGATAATTGTCTCTAGTACATTTTGTCCTGTTGACCATGATTTTTCTGCCATTTGAAGGTAATAACTTTCTATTCTTTAATTGCAAACGGCCCAGGAAAACACCAGTGGAGCAAAACTTCTGTTGTGTCCAGCCTGGCTGACGAGGATGAACCGTTCTGTATTAAATGGTGCATCACACGGAGAAAATGCTTCTCCATTTGTGGATTAACTAGTGCTGATAAACAAGGGCTCCGGTAAAACGCACCAACAGGGAGGAAATGCTCTCAATCTCCAGTGTGAAGGCTTAGGGCTGCTCACACAAGGGAGGAGGGGAAAAGTTACACAAGGAAAGCAAAAGAATAAGACACAGGACCCTGCTGCATGCTTCCTAGCTCTGTGTGTGAGTCGGCAAACTCTAGCCTGGAAATCACATTGACAGAAACAATCTGGGAACCACAACAGCAACAAGAATGGAATATGCTTTTATATTCCCTGCTAAGGTGTGCTAGAGAGAAATACAACATAATAAAGCATCAATGACCTATGCTAAGTGACAATAGCAAACACAAGAAGTATCGGCCCATTCCACCTTTTATGATAATTTTCTCTCCTTGAAATAACTTTTTTTAACCTAAGACAGTATTAGTTAGGATTCTGTGGGAAAATACTAATTGATGACATGGGAAGATATCTTACAAATACATAACGTTACCTAGAAAATCCAGAAAGCGGTTAAGTACAGGAGGAGGTAACGTGGAAACCTGATAAAAGCATAGACCTGTAAGAAGAATGCTGAGTCTCTGTACAACCCAACCTTACAATACAAGTGGCTAGTTCATCATTTATCTAAAATGGCTGGCTTTGTCCATCTATCCAGTAAGTGGGCTTGGGTAGGACAAGTGATGTCTAAGTGTAGAAGTCCAAGTAATTTAAACATCTAAGATTCAGGAAACATGCATTATAATCAACATTTCAGAACTATACCATCACAATATAACACAATATGTAACATATATATCCAAACTGCAACTGAAAGATCGGTGAAGACTAGCTAGCTAGCCAGTGCATTTGATACACTCTAAACTGAAACCTAAAAATGCTACTAATAGCACATATTACAAATAAACAATTAGCAAGTTAGATAATTTTCCAATTTTTTCCAAAGTATATGCATAGGATGATACTGAGAAAAATGTTACTAGAACATGGCTAACAAATGATCTCATTGGATAAAATCAAAGATACTTAGGTATGGAATATCTGCAGTGAGTGGGATGCTTACAAATACCTAGCTGAACCCGATTTTCTTCATGCTAATCTTAACAATTACCGCTGGGTTCCTTTAAATTATCTTCACTTTCTATGTTGGTAATAGAAACAAACAGGCATGTTTTCCCGGGCCATCGTGTGTAAATCAATAATGTTCAGTAAATAAAATTTTCTGAAAATTTAGAAAGGCTGCAAGTCCTAACTTGCTTTCAGACTCTTGAGAAGTGACATTGTAAAAAAAAATAAGAAATGAGTGTAACTCAGCGTTGACCCAGAGATGGTAAATGTCATGCAGGCATCAGAGACTTCATCTTTGCCAGAAACCTGAACTCTGAATGAAAAAGAAATGTCATTATTTGTGGTCTGGACTGATTTAAATTTGCCTTGGAATCTGATCATCCTGATACAAGAAGAATAAAAACTAATTTCACTTGTGAAGGAGACCTGTGACCTAAACACAGGGATTCCCATCCACCACCGAAGTTTGCCTGAGGCACGGGAAGGGGTCATGAGACTGAAGCAAGGTGGGGATATTCAGACAAGAACCGATCTTCAAAAAGAAAATAGTGACAGACATGCAGACATATTTTCCATTCTATAGAAAAGCAATTTAATAATAAATAAAAATCCTGTCAAAACAAAGCACTCTAAGCTAGATGGGATTTGATAATACAACATAAAAGGAAACGGATAAAAACAAATGTGATTTAGCAATCCAATACTAAAAATATAAACAATGGGAGATCAAATTTGTAACAGTTAATGCAATTCAGATGATTCTTTAAATGTACTGGTGAGGTTAGATTTATATACATTTTAAGAGAAAAACTGTAAGGGTAATAAATAATGCAAAAATGGAACGGTTTATTTTTTTTTGAAGTTAGAGATTTATGTCCACCAAAGTAATGATCAAGTATAAGTAAGGCCTGTGTGCTTCAAATTTAAATAAATACTAGGTGGGAAGAAACAAACGTGTGTGTGTGTGTGTGTGTGTGTATGTGTCTGTGTGTGTCTGTGCATGCATGTGTGTGTATGTGTATGTGTGTGTATGTGTGTATGTGCCTGTGTATACGTGTGTATGCGTGCGTGTGTGTGTATGTGTGTCTGTATGTGTGTGTGTGTATGTGTGTCTGTATGTGTGTGTATGTGTGTGTGTGTGTGTGTGTGTGTGTGTGTGTGTATTCTCTTGTAGCTCAGGATGCCCTTGAACTCACAAAGTAGCCAAGGATGATCTTGAACTCCTAATCTAGTCTGTGCTTCCCAAGTGCTGGGATACAAGCATGATTTGATGACCACATCCCACTCAAAACTCTAAAGTGAAATAAAAAGAGTCAAGCCTAGGAATCAACTTGCATCATATCTGCAAAGGTAAAACAAAAAGGGAAAGGGGGAGACAGAAAGGGGTACATTTCTCTTAAGGTAACAAAAGACAGAACATCTGTGTCACCAAGAAGATGCATCACATCTTAGCAGCAAACCCTTAGCTCACCTACCTAGAATACAGATATAAAGTGCTGGTTGTAGTTATATTCTCTCTCATGCCCCATTGCATAAACTATCATATTAATTAAAACATTAATCTCATAAGATCAAACAGACTAGAGTTGAGAAAAGTACTCATATATGACAGAAAACATCACATAAGTACCCATGGCCTCTAGTGGCAGGACCACTGCAAGAGTCCACTCCTGTGTGGAGTGGGAGTAAGCGAAGTTCACAAGAAGGTAAGCAGTGGTGTTTTATCCTGTTCTTTCCCTAAAACTACACAGGATTAACATGGTCCCCGCTTCTATCATTCCAAAGTGATACTGTTTACTCCTCCTTTGAATTGACACTCTGAACACACTCATGCTCAATGATACTCCCTCCAAGCTTAAGTTATCAGTATTATCATCTGGTGCCTCCTTGCCAAATTGCCTAGGACCAGAAGTCTCGCAAAATGAGAAAGGCATCGACAGATACAGTTAATGTCATCACATGTAACCAAATCCAGAAAACACCCAGTCCGGATAAGTGCCACTTACTTATGTCCATTTAAGGCTGCGTGGTGTAAAGCGGTGTAACCCGAACTGTCTGTGCAGTTCACATTGGGACCTCGCCAGATGCTGCGAACAAAACACAAGCGCAGAGTTAACAGTTACGGAGTCACGCTTTCAAGAGCAAGAACCACATAGTCACGCAGCAGGTGGCATGTAGCATAGGAAAACTGCAGTTCTGTATGAAATGGATGGCGTCTTTCATCTATAACCCAAAGAAAAACTTCATTTATTTGACGTAGAGAAATTCAACAGCAAGTGTCAGCATCATCAAAAAAAAAAACAGATTGCAGAATATATGTTCACTGCCATGCATTAAAATTGGGTCCAAAATTTCCCTCTTACTGTCTATTATTACTTACGTGTTAACACGCAGGTGCATGTGGTAAAGAATAAGGATCTGTGACATTTGCCTCCACTCTTTTAATGACCAACCCTGACATAGAGGAGATTTATGTGCACTGCAACACACATTCACATTATGGGAAGACTTAAACTGCTCTTGTTCTATTGCTGCCAAGAAAATGTATATAAAAGCACAAGAAGATCCCAATAATTATGCTTTTACCATTGACTTTACCATACAATATATTCTGGAGCTAACATGTGACTACGTAAAACACTCATTTTATACTTGATCACTGCAATTAAAGAAATTACTTTTAGCCTTTGGAGACAATAAAGTATTGAAAGACACTTGCCTAAGAGCAGACAGAATGACTTTATCTAGCGTTCATGCTGATATTGAAATTAAAAAAAAAGATATTAGCTGATGACAGATTCACAATCATGAAATATTTATAATGCATTAGCTCTAGGTCACATATTAAGAGAAGCACTGAAAACACAAAATCATAATCAATAATCTTGTCTTATAAGAGCATAGTCTGACTGGGTGCGGTGGCTCATGGCTTTAATTCTAGTACTGGAGAGGCAGAGGCAGGCAGATCTCTGAAAATTGGAAACCAGCATGGTCTATACAGAGGTTCCAGGACAGCCAGGGCTACATCTAAGTCCTGTCTCAAAAGGAGAAAAAAAAGTCTAATGTAGATAATAGATATGATATGCATTCATACATGCAGGAAAATACATAAACAGATATACATAAGTGAATACATACACATATATACATACTGAGAGAGAGACATTGAAAGAGAGATTTAATAAAATGGCCCAAGAAAAACCTAAATTACTGAGCTGCTTGTACAGCTAAATGTAGACTTGCCTAGCATATGCAAGGCCTCTATAACACACACCCGAACACAGACACACACACACAGAGAGAGAGACAGAGAGAGAGAGAGAGAGAGAGAGAGAGAGAGAGAGAGAGAGAGAGAACTAAGAAACCTCAATGATTTTCTTAATAGAGAAGGAAGACCTGCTCTAAATGAGGTTGCAACACACATAAACCAAAGGCAGAAGGGATCATTTCATAGTCATTAAGGGAACCTCTTGACAAGAGTACAGAATAATCTTAAGTAGTTTTTAATGCATATAACAACAGATCTTCAAAATACATTAAATAAAACCTAGCTCAACTGCAAAGAAAAAAATATACCTATGCCTGAAAAAAATTAAACCATCTCTCAGTTGATGAAATAAAAAGAAAATCAGTATGAAACTAAATAATATTATCTACCAACTTGACCTAACTGGAATTTATGTAATGTTTTATGCCATAATAACAGAATAATAAAAGTTTTTGCAAGTAAACTCAGGATATTTATGAAAACACAGCAAATCATGAAACAGAAAACAGTCCCAATATACATGAAAGTATTCAAATCAAGAAAGATATATTCTCTAACTACAGTAAAATCAAATTAAAAATCACTCACACAAAAGTATCTGGAAACCCCAAGTATTAGCAATGAAGTGACATCAAAGTCAAAGAAGATAATAAAAAAGAAAATTGCAAAGTATTTTATTCTTAAAACACAACACACTAAACTTTACTTACTAAACTGACTTAAACTTTACATGCTAAAACTTTCCATATGCAACTAAAGTGTACCTTAAAGAACTTGTGTCACTAAAACAGATTGAAATGAGAGGAAAGGCTCAAACTGATAACCTCAGCTTCTATTTTAAGAAACAGAAAAATGGAGCTGGAGTTTGGCCATTAAAGGCTCACAGTCAATGCTTAAAAGGCTATGAGTTTCATTCCTAGCACCCATAGAATCTAAGTCTGTCGCCACAGTTGCCCTGTTCTGCCCTCTGATGCCACCTGTACCACACATGGCACGTGTGTGCACACACACACACACACACACACAGAGAGACATGTACATGCACACACAAACCAGGAAAAGAAATTATAAATTGTATAACACATCAAAAAATCCCAAATAATCCCATGTAAAATAGCATAAATCTTGAATACATATTCTCCAAACGGAATATAGAAATTGACAATAGGTATATGAAAAAGCATACAATTTCATTAATCATCAGATTTCATCAGTAATCAGTTTCACTAACCAAAAACAGTATGAAATATGAATACAACCATTAGGATGGTTATTCTCATTCTTTTCATAGCTGTTAAAAAAAAAAAACTAAAAAGTGCTTGTAAGGGTTTGAGGAGTAGAGAGTGCCTATATACTGCTAGCTAAAATGTAAAATGATATAGTCACCATGAAAATACTGTGGAAGTTTTAAAATAAATTAAAAATAGAACTTCATATGGCCAAGCAATCACACTTCTGAACATATACCAAAATATGAACATCATGGCAATAAAGATAACAACACTCTTGTGTGCACTGGCGGCATTATCCACCAATAGCTGAGATAGTCAAAAAGCCTAAATGCCTGTCAACCAACAGATGACCAAACCAAATGTGGCATACACATATAATTAATGTAAAAGGAATAAAGACCTTGATGCTTGCTAATTCATTCACTATGGATTAACCAGGGTATGCAATGTTACATCACTACTACAGTAGGTAACTATTATCTATCTGTATACTCCTTGAAAGTTAACAAAACTATACTAAGTGAAAAAAAGTGAACTACAAAATATTATATTTGACTCAGAATCCCAAATGTTTCTTATGCAATAACCCCTTCACATCTGTATAAGACAAATACTCTTATTATTCCCATTGAATAGATGGGAGATATTAGCATTAATCTAGAAAATACATAAAATGTCTCAGTCTCTTGGTTATGATTATATGCAGAAAAAACACATACAAAGGTACATTTAATTCATTTTTTTCTTTACTAATTTATTTATTCCTTCACTTTACATCCTGATCATAGTCCCCCTCCTCACCCCTCATAATTCCACTGTCATAAGTCCCTACCCTTCTTCTCAGAGAATGGGAAGCCTGCCTTGGGTACCACCCCATCCTGGAATACCCAGTTGCATCAGGGCTAAGCACATTCTCTCTCACTGAGGCCAAACAAGGTCAGTTAGAAGAAGGGGATCCAATGGCAGGAAACACAGTCAGAGACAATTTGAATTCTTTAAAATATTAAGGGGGGAAAGATGAAGAGAAAGGGTAGATTCATTAGTTTCTTTTTTAATTGCTGTGATCAAATATCTAACATTAAGACCTTAATTGGTTTATATTGGGAGACAGTTCGGATACAGCCCAACATGATTAAGAAGGCATGGCCACAGGAGTAGCCTGTAGCTGGGGCAGCAGGAACTTGCTCACATCTCAACAGATTAGGAAAGGGAGGCTCTCCCAGAGCCTGACAAATACAAAGGTGGATGCTCGTAGCCAACCACTGGACTGAGCGCGGGGTCCCCAATGGAGGAGTTAGCAAAAGGACTGAAGGAGCTGAAGGGGTCTGCAACCCATAGGAAGAACAACAATACCAACCAACCAGACCCCCCTCCCAGAGCTGCCAGGGACTAAACCACCAACCAAAGAATACACATGGAGGGACCCATGGCTCCAGCTGCATATGTAGCAGAGGATGGCCTTGTCAGACATCAATGGGAGGGGAGGCCCTTGGTCCTGTGAAGGCCTGATGCCCGATGCCCCAGTGTAGGGGAATGCCAGGTCAGGAAAGCAGGAGTGCATGGGTGAGATGGGGGAGGGAGGATGGGATACAGGGTTTCTGGAGGGGAAACTGAGAAAGGGGAAAACATTTGAAATGTAAATAAATTTAAAAAGAATTATATAAGTACACCAAATCAAATAAATGTTAATATGTACATATATACATACATTGTGTATATCAAAGATAATCTTAAATTTGTATCAATATTCAATAAACTATACCTTGTTTCAAAAGTAAAGAAGAAAGAAAGAAAGAAAACAGGAAAAGCAATGTCAGTGTTTGTCTGATTTTTTCCATTTTTAACCAGGTCAGGACCCTGCACATGGGCTGCTGCTACCACATCAAGGTGAGTCTTTTCTCATACACTGAAGACACACTCATAGCACACCATAGGTTTGTCTGTGAGATGATTCTAAATCTGCTCAAGCTGGCAATGAAGAATAACCATCATGGTAGGTTTGCCTCAGATTGTGAGGAGACTCCTAACATTCTAAGAAACTTGGAATTAATTCTGCAGTCAACTCGACACTTCTGGCATAGCAAGGTCGGCATTTGAAAATGACAGCTTTTCTGACGGGTTTTGGAAAGTGGCCAGAAAGGGAATTGGGTTGACAGTTCATTTTAAAGATTGATTTATTCACCTATTTTTATGTATATGAATACTCTATCTGCATGTACTCACTCCTGCACACCAGAAGAGGGCATCAGATCCCATTACAGATGACTGTGAGCCACCATGTGGTTGTTGGGAATTGAACCTAGGACCTCTTGAAGAACAGGGAGTGATCTCACTGCTGAGCCAACTCTCTAGTCCTTGTTTCAAAAAGATGTATGTATTTATGTACTTTATGTATATGAGAACAATCGATTTTAATAGAACAGAATGAAAGAAATATCCTGAACTATTGGGTACATAGTGGCAAATTGAGAAAACTGAGGGAGGAAATTCAAATTCTTACATCTAAAAGAAAATCTATGAAAGATGATAACCATATGGAAAAGAGTTAGCTTGGCACATGACTGAGGTTCCCACCAGGAATGACATG